TTGCTATATCAAGCACATTGATCTTATGTTTGTTAATATAGCAAAAATTAATTTTACTTAGTATCATATTACTCCAATATGTCACTCCAATATTATAATTGATATATATTATTTTATATGAAGTACATGTCAATATGGTGTTTTCAGAGAAAATTATATATAGATTTATCATATATATATATATATATGACTTATTATTAATAAATTATTAAATATAACTTATTATTAATGCAATTTTATCTTATAAATTACCTTTATACATCATTTTTGTAAAAATGCCCTCTGTTGAAAGAAAGGAATTGCGTTTAAAATTGTAATTTGTATACATTGACATTGTGTGAATAATTTGAGATAACAACTCAAAGTTTGTCAACAACTCCAGATATAATCCTAGAACGCTGTTGAATTTTTCTGTTGTACATTTTCTCATCATCTCTCTTGAAACATATATACAGAATTTATGTGATACTTTAAAGACGTATTATGAATGAAATAAAGAGCGTTCTTGGCTTAGTTACTATGGGGTATCATTATCAGTGGGTACCAGAAATATGATGTCACAATGGTGTTTCTATAGAGCAGAGCGGTAGTATTTGTACTTTCTCCTGAGAGAGAGAGAATATTAATGCAAGTGTCACGAAATAACAAGATGTCACCTTCGCCGTTCAACGGTGCACACCTCGTACTTAGGTGCTTCTTCTTTGTGAATCGCAGATAGATGAAATGGATCCTCTGCCCAAGGCGATCTGTGTTCAGTGTCTGGGCAAGCTCGAATTCGTCTGCGACTTCCAAGAGGAGTGTCTACGCACCCAACATGAGTTACGCGATCGATACAATCTACCGCCCTTAACAGAGTTTGTAAGTCTGTCTGTTTTATTTCATCTACCGCTCTATCGCTCTCTTTCACCATGCAACTGTGCATCATGCGAGTGTACAGTTATTTTCCATCGTGCCTTACGTCAATTTTGAATAATAACGCGATCAAAAGTAATTCGATAACGATAAAATATAAAGTACAGTTAAACAAATCGACTGTGATTCTTCTTGGACAGCGTTGTAACCGTGTCTTGTCTGTTAAAATCATGTATTTTTTCTCGATTTTTCGCAACTGAGAAATCGTTCCGGGCCTGTATTCTGTAACCGACAGTGTCGTTGTCGTTGTCGCGTAGCTTTACTGCCATATGTCACACCTGCGCAACGACACCATGACGACAATGGCACTGTCGTTGAGGGTTACAGAATAAAAGGGCCCCGGTAGGTTTGAGGAAATAGAAAAAATATTTGTCCAAAGAGAATGACATTGTAATGTTCCGACAGTCGCGAATTCGTTCTTACTTTATTATCGCGAAGTAAAGGCAATCCTGGTACCCACTCGTACATTTTAATTCAATTCTTTAGGAGGTAAAAAATGAAGATGCACCGCCGGCCAGGTCGACGGATAATAACAACAGTATTGAGAAAAATCTTAATTCCACTAGCGGCGAGGACTCCGAGCAGCAACAGCAACAACAGCAGCAGCAGCAACGAGTTCTCAGGAGAAGTCTCCGTAGCCAGCAGCAGGCTAAGTCCAACGACGAAATAAGCGTGGAGGAGAATTCGCAAAGCAGTCAGAGTATACAAAGTACAGAACTGACGCCGTCTCGCTGGTTGAGACGCCGGCACAACGTGGACTCCACAACGTCGTCCGTGGCCAACAACAGCGAGGAGATCGAGGAGATCCCGATCGCGAGCAGGTTGAGGAGTCACAATAACAACGCGGACAACAGTAATCAAGCCAATGCTTTTTCTCTGAGTGTCAGCAACAGCGATAACGAGAGCGCTACGGGGAAGAACGTGATACACGATCCGACGCAATCGACGATTCAGTTACCAACATCGGCGTTGAACAAATTGTTAACTCTCGTTTCCGGTGCTCCCGATATCGAGGTGTCGGTGAAGGAATCGCGGAATCGCAGCGGCGGCGGTGGCGACGGCATCGGCAGCAACGCCAGTAACAGCAGCAGCAATGACGCCGAGGATATCAGTTTCACCGTGGAACTTTGCAGGAAGTCGAGCGAAGACGACGCGTTGCCGGAGCTGAAAGTGCGGGCGCGAGTGTTCCCGGATCAGGGCTGCTGCTTGGTCGACTCCGCGATCGTCGATCTGCTGCAGAATTCTCAGAACACCACCGTGGAGATGAACGGCATCGTCAACAGTATCCTCGGCAGCACCGGCAAGAATAACGGGGTCGCGTCGTCAAAGCTGTTGAAGGACTTGGAGGAGCTGGAGCAAATGACGGAGGCGATGCAAAAGCCGGAGGAGCTCTTCCGCGTGGACGGCGAGGAGATCAAGGTGGACGATAACGTGGAACACGTGACGAACGACGGGCAGAACGGTTACGCGTGTAAACTCTGTCACAAGTTCTACGAGCGCCGGGACAAGTGTACCGTGCACGTGAAGACGCATCTCGGCATCAAGCAGTACACCTGTGTCGTGTGCAACGCCAAATTCGTCTGCAAGTCGGACGTGATGAAGCATATCCGTTGCTCGCACACGAATCCACGGCCCGTGCAGTGTCCCAAGTGTCCGAAGCGCTTCAAGTCGAAGTTTTATCTGACCGAGCACGATAACGTGCACAAGGGCGTGCGGCCGTATAGCTGCACCGACTGCGGACAGAGCTACCATCACAAGGTGTCGCTGCAGATTCACATGAAGTCGCATCTGCCGCCGCAGAATCTTGCCTGCGAGTACTGCGGCAAGGTGTTCCCGTATCGCACGCGGCTCCTCAGCCACATCGCCAGCGTGCACCTGAAGAAGCGCCGTAACTTCCGCTGCCGTTTCTGCTACAACCTTTATTCCAGCCTGGCGGTATTGAACGAACACATCAAGACGCGTCACGCCACCACGCATACCTGCGGCATCTGCGGCAAGACCTTCAAGGTCACGTCCAAGTTCAAGGCCCACGTGATGCAGCACTCGAATCCGAAGCCGTTCGTCTGCGGCATATGCAACAATCGTTACGCGTCCAAGGCCTTTCTTAACGAGCACGTGCTCAAACACGAGGGTCTGCGCAAGCACAAGTGCAAGACGTGCAACGCCACATTCGCGCAAGCGAGTCACCTGGCCGCGCATCGCCACGTGCACGGCGAGAAAACGCACGCCTGCCCGGAGTGCGGCCGTAAGTTCAATCGTCGTGATAACATGAAGGTGCACCGGAAGCGGCATTTCGAGCAGAAGAAGAGCGGCAAGCAAAAGATCACCACCACCGCGTCCAGCGTTGTTGACTCGGTGGCCGCAACGACCGCGACTAACGAAAAATAGTGTGGACGGTGACTTGAGAAATTGCCGTTACTAATGGCTGAACATACTGGAGTATACTTAGGGATAAGAGTTATAGATAGATTTTACTACGTAGCGGCGTAGCTACGCAGCGAAGACTACTCTCTTAGACTACATAGATCGCGAGAGGTCAGCGTTCGACCGACGTGGAGTCCTGAGATTAGAAAGTAAGTGAGAGATATTTAGCGAGAATGTGTGTTGTGAAAGATTGCTCAAGGACAACGATGGTCTTTTTATGGTACATGGCTTGGTGCTCCGATAAATTATCGACAACATTTTTGACCTTTAGCAATAACGATTGATTTATCTATGTTCTCGAAGACTATGTTTCATTTCTTATTCCCTTGTAAATGTCGACTTTTCTACTAGGATTAAGCGAATTCGCTTCTTCAGCAGCTTCGCGACTTTCTTTCTCTCCTCGATCGGAGAATCGAATTCGTGGAATTTTGAGAATGTATTTTCGTATCTCGGCATCCAATTCTTTTGTAGTACATGTCGTTCTATCATATATCCAAAAGCATGGTGAATAATATCCCGGACAGCACGCAACGTTTAATATCGAGCCATAAGACGTCTTTCATGCTGTTTGGGACGTTAGGAATTACCCCTGCATGTCTTCTTTCGATATCTTTCATACGTTTTTATTACGTGAAAACCTCTTATGTTTTTCTCGTAAAGGCGTTCAGAGAAAGAAAGAGAGAGAGAGAGAGAGAGAGAGAGGGTGATGTTCGGAGAAAAATGATTTTTGTATAATAGACAATATTGATGTACGGCCAAAAACATAATTACCCTCATAATCGTGTAGCTTTAGCGAAAATTTGATAACTCAATGACGTACTAGGAATCGGGCTTCCAAAATAATCAATAACCTCGACTAGAGCGAAAATATTTTCTATAGGTCTTTACACGTGCGTTCGTGCGTACGTGCGTGTATTTTGTGTGTGTGTGTGTGTGTGTGTGTGTGTGTGTGTGTGTGTGTGTGTGTGTGTGTGACATATGTAAAAAAATTTGCGTATGTGTGCTTGTGTGTGTGGGTGTGTGTATGCATGGAAAAGCGGTGATTTGCGCTTTCCATACATTTTGGAGGATACTTTACAATGACAATCGTAACATATTGAAAGTAGAGAACGGTTACGAAATTATGAAGTAATATTAAGAAAGTATATTATCATCAGTGCCTTGATCATAAAGTAATCTTAAATAGAAAGGATGGGATCAAGTACACTCGCTCCAAATAGTATCGATTCCATCGGTGACACTTTGAATTCCTTTATAAATGCTTACATAGTCATTCACATATACATTTATTTGATTAAATAACTCATTATTCACACCTTCTACACAGTCTTTCTTTATACCGATGTGAAAAGCTTCGTCTTCACGATAATACGATGATTTAACCTGAAATATTCTTTCCTATTTACTCTATTTATTCTAATTGTCCGTGTTTATTGTTGCTCAGTATGTACCAATTGATTTAGATTTATTAGATGTAACGACATGTTCAAAATATCTCCTTCCTCTGTCGTTCGCTTATTACTAAAGGTCGTGATTTTCCCAATTCTACGTACCAGTTCCCTCCATTTATCATGATTTTCTGCTATTATTTCGACATATATTAATTAATAAATAACTACACATACACACACGCACGCACGAACGCACGCACCTATACACACACACACACACACATACACACATATATATATAAATTATATGTACATTATATATATTGTTATTTATTAATTATAAAGTAATATATATATATATATATACCATAAATTCTCTTATATCCATGTTATATGTTCAAAAGTACTCGTCAGTACTACTTGGTATTGTACTTGATCCCATATGGTCGTATGGTAACTTCTTTACAAGTACGTAAAGTGAATACACGATTTTTGTAAGCACGTTAATTCATTCGCAATGGAGCCACACGCGCGCGCACACACATGCACACACACACATGCACACACCCAAGTATTGAATTGACTGATGAATTTATAAGAAGTACATATTAAATTCGTTCTTTTTTTATTGTTTATTGATCGACTAAGAAAAAAATGAAGTACGACTATACTTTAAAAATCACGTACGTTGTTACTGGAAGCTTTTTACCCACGACTCCCGTAAAGAACTCTATGAAAGATATTAAATATTAATTATTATGATTGCTTATAATCTCGTTTAGTTAAGTGATAATGACTTTCCCTACTTGGTTAAATGATAAGCAATATATACTATTTTGTACGTCATATGTATAATCAGTAGGTGATACCTTTCCACTCAGAAGATATATATATCTTCCGAAGAAAAATTATCTTCGACAGAGATGTTCATACATTATTATTATCGCGCGTCCTGTATAAGTCAGGTACATACACGTAGGATTATTAATTTCTACAACAAACACTTGTTTAACGATTCCACCGTTGTCTCAATAAAGGCACGATATTTTTGGGACCTCGATTCACTTTATTTTACTTGAACTTAACTAATATTGGAGTGACACTCAGGTGTAATTCTAGCTTATATCTTACAGACTTTGTGATCTAATTGTTATTCTCTTATATATCATACGATCGAATATTCTGTGGATATCTGTTATGGTTTTATGATTATTAATAATCTGCAATATTGGAGATCACTTTGGGTACTATCGGCGTTATCCTACTTTACCGTCAATTTGTCAATTTGCTTGTTATTATTTCTGATACGAATTTTCTTCTTCATGCTGCTATTAAAGTGCGATATGGGACCGACATAGCGAAATATGATTACGTGCAGAAAGAAACGCACAGCGTATTTCAGCCGAGGAAATATACCTTCGCGCTCTTCCACGCCGTCCAGAGAGGAAGGTATTGATTCACTTACTAATTGGCCTAATGGCGGACGATCGTATTCATATAATTAAAATTGACCGTTAATCTGTTTCAGATCACGGAAAATGACGATTTGCCGCAGCAAGTATGCGCAAGGTGCTGCGCAAAGCTCGATTTCGCGTGTGAATTCTTTGAGGATTGCTACAACGTTCAGCAGACGTTCTCAACATTGACTGCAAGTTCTTTTCATTGAACAATCATATTTTTTCTTTCATTTTCTTTTATTTTTTCTTTTAATTTTTAAATAATATTCCTTAGTAAGCGGGATTGTGATCTTCACAATTATAATGTAACAATGTCAAATGAACTGTTCGTTGTTTATCAAGTCAATATGTATGCTTTAGTATTTTCAAAGTCAGTTAAGTCTTGTATAAACAACCAAAGTTTGCACATTTTGGCATTTCTTCTTTTTATTGTATATTTACACACATATATAATTCCCCTCTATAATTATGTAGAATCAAAATATGGAAGCAGTTACGAACCAAAGGAATGACGCCAGGATCGAGGAGGAGGAGAAGAATGAAGATAAAAATGAAGCCGAGATGGAAGCTAATAAAGAAAATACCGTGCCAATTGTAAAAAACTCCAAGAATTCGAAAAGAATCGGGAAAAATCGCTCCAGACAACGAAGGGTTAAGAAACGTGAAAAGGATACGCCACTCAAAGAACAAGTTGAAAATATCGTCACCACTGACGCACTCGATCAGAAAGAACAGTCGAGTGATGCATCGAACATAGCAGCTGTGTCGCCGATTTGCAAGTCACAAGTAATATCTGTGAAGCAGGAGAACATCCACAGCGAGGAGACGTCTTCGCAAAGTCGCAAGTCGGTGGGAACTGCGAGCAAGAGCGATGAATCCCTGGTGCGGATCCCAATTGAGAATTCCCAATCAAGTGATTCCAGCGCGTATCAAGAAACGGAAGTGGAAGCGCTCTGTGTCGTTATAACAGGTGATGAGGTGGAATCGAAAGTGAACGGCAAGTCCGATTCGATCTTGACACAAACGACCGATATCAACTCCAATGGTGTTTCTTTCATGAAAACCGACGGTGAAGCGGAGACTGCTGTCACATTGCCAAGTCAGGAAGATCCTCTCGTTTCGAAGAAATCGGATGAAGAAGCGCGGACGAGCGTGCAGAATAAAGCGTCTTGTGTATCAAAAAAAAACAGAAGCGAGAGGAGGAGCAGTAATAAAATCTCGGAGTTGATGACTGAAGAACAAAAAAGACTGATTGAATCGAGCTATCGGATAAATTCAAGTCTCATGAAATGTGACCTGAAGAACAAAATGACTGTACTGGGCAAGGAGAAGATTAAGTGCAATATCTGCGAGATGAATTATTCCAGGCCAGACAAATGTAAAGTGAGTATTTATCAAGGGTTTAAGGCCGGTATTCACAGTCAGATCTTAATTTAAGAACGTCTGAAATTCATCTTCGGGTGCATTGTAGCCAATGAAACGATCCGTACAGCATCGGAAGATGATCTTAAATATACTATATCCAGCTATAAATACCGACCTAAGAAGTTTTGAATTTTCCAACTTTGCGAATGCAGTCGCTCTTCCTCATTGATTCATTATTTTATTGCAATACGATTTTTTTTTTCATAATAGACGTTATATATCATTTTAACGTAATGTAAAATATATCGTAATATTTTCTCGCTTTTAACCATGTGGAAATTGTTTTCGGCAGGTCCATATAATGGCCCATTTGGAGATTAAGCCCTACGAATGCGTAAAGTGTAATTACACAACGGTAACGGTAAGCAATATCCGCGCTCACATCCGGAAAAGTCACCTAAAACTCAAGCCGTACGTTTGCGATCAGTGCGACAAACGTTTTGGAAGCATGGTGCTCTTACAGGAACATGTTTATTCTCACACAGGTGAACGGCCGTTCAAATGCGAAATTTGTGGCCTCTCCTACACAAGTCGGCAGGGATTGAATTATCACTGCAAAACGCATAAGACGAACAAGGTGGGACATGATAAAAATTTTCATTGATGACATTTTCATTTTCAACGTGTCTCTGTTATTACTACGCTATTTGATAATACAATAAGTCACTATAACGGTGTTTATAAATATTCTTTTGATTATTCCAGGATATTAAATGTGACATCTGCCCCAAAATGTTTAAATCGCCGGCCAGAAAGAGGGCACACATGCATATTCACAACAAAGAGAACATGATACAATGTACAATATGTAAAAGTTATTTGTCGAATCAGACGAGCGTCGACATACATATGAAGAAAGTTCATTCGCAGAAATACGTTTGCGATATTTGCAATAAAGAGATGCTGTCTAAGAAAGATTTGTACAACCACAAGAACGTATGAAACCTTAATCATTAATTCTACATATATGACATATTCTATATATTAATTGTATTTAGTAATCAAGATGTACGATAAAATATGATATGTCAAATTCTTTTTAAACATTTCATCTCATTATTAAACCAAGTAATTAAATATAAGGCTAATGAAAGCCAGATTTCATTGTAGATATGTGAATTATTTTTAATTTAAAATAAATTTTAGTCTCTTTGTTTTTTATTAATCTTACGTTATATTATATTATTTGGTTTAGTTTTTATTTTCACTCAGTCAATTTAAAAATTGTTACAAATGTTGCCTATTTTATTGTATATATAACTGTGTATTTAGTAAATTTTTATGAATGCTTTCTAATATTTTTTCGTCTTCAAAATTATTCAAATGCCATAATTTATAATATAGATCGGGCAATGTTACGAATTTACATACGAAAGGGCATTAAAAAATATAGAGTTGAGAGAAACTTATATTAACAACTTAACGTTATGTCTTGACTATTTAAAATTCTTTATATTTCTACTAAAACATATAAGTGCATGAATGTGATAATTTATTTATATTTTTTGTTATATTAGTTCTTAAGACAATTGTAACTAATTACATCCATGGAAGTCAAAATTGTCACAAAATTTATTTCTTGATTACTAAATGTGTCATATTGATATGCAGGTTCACATGAAAGCTAAGTACAAATGCACCATATGCTTCAAATATTACAAGAGCAGGCACATCTTGAATGAGCACATACTAAAACACGAGGGTATCCGGAAGTACAGATGTAATGATTGCGGGAAAACGTTCGCTCAACAATCGCATCTAGCCGCTCACTCAGCTACACATAGCAAAATTAGGTAAACATTCATCCCAGCACAAACATATTCGCAGATATTTAATTATAATTATATATAATTTCTATAATATATAATAGATATAACTATAATAGCTCCTAAATTTTAGATATATGTATATATTTATTTATATTTATATTTATTAGGTTTCCTTGCATTGGTTGCGAGAAACAATTCAATCGTCGCGACAATATGAAGGCGCACACCAAACGTTGCCAGTTGTTTCTGCAAAAGTCGGACACATTTGTGCTAGGGATTCACGACAAATTGTCCAATGTACGAACAGAACACAACGCGACAAGATAACGATTGGCGAAACGTATGATCAATACGAGTCGACATGATGAACTGACATTGAAGAGGAAGAAGAGTAAAATATCCACACATCGTGTCATATACGATTCAATTCTTTATCAATGTTTGCTGTAATGTAATGACGCGACCAAAGAAACATATTTTAGTTCTTATGTTTGACATAGAAAATGCTGTCCAAGAAAGACGTATACAACTATAAGAACGTATATATCCTCAGTCATTAATCCTATATATCTAAGCTCTTCAAGTATACGGAGTTTTAATAATATTAATGCTATGTAGTGAAAATTACAAGTTTCCGTCATCCTTTATACTGGTTCAAAGGATAATGAAGGAAAAAAAATAAGACTGTCGAATATGCCATTTTGGCTAGTTGTAATGGATACAAAGTTCCTACGCGTCCGTTTCTCTTTGAAAGCGACGGCTGATTATTCTATAAATTTATTTTAGTTTCTCAATCTTAATTTCTTTCCGTCTTATTCACATATATATATGTATGTATGTATGTATGTATGTATGTATGTATGTATGTATGTATGTATGTATATTGAAAATATTGCAGATTTATTTGTACGAGTGAGCCTTTTTCACACATGTGTCGAATTATCTTATTCGACAAATGATTCTTGCATATTGTATGTTATATCATGTTTTCTTTATCGTGAACATATATGTTCTCTTTTTGGCAAAATGTTCATAGCAAAATTAAATATTTTGAACCAGATATTACATAATATATACATGAACAAATAATATTCATCTGTTTACATATATTACATGTATACATTTCATTTTATGTCGATATTTTAGATTTTATTATGATCATTATTATTGTATTGTAGTATAATTACATATTATTATATTAATATTTAATTAATGATTTTTGTAAACAATATTTATACTTTAGATGCAAACTGCTCATGCTATTATTGCAATGTTCACGCAAAATAAATAATGAATTCTCGAATCGTACGACCGCATTTTTTAGTGCTGAGCGCAAATATGAAGACCGTCTTCTTTCTTTCACGGTCATCCTAGATGACCTAGACGAAGCAGCTTTTACGATTATCGGCAAGCAAGAGATAAGGATAACTTTTCATTTTTTGAACAATGTTTTCTGAATCGCAACGTCTAAGACATTGCAATTCAACGGACATCGAATGTTTTTGCATTGTCTTTTCGACGTTAATTCCACATTTTGCAACGCAGATACAATATTTACAATGTTACAATGTAACGAAATATTGATTCAACATTTGTGTGCCGTATGGATATATTTTTACAAAGATATTTGTAACATACATATTTGATGAGGAACTAATGTTTTTAAGATGAAATGAAATGATGTCTTCGGTATGACATTTTAACGTTATTTTTACGTTTCATTGACATTATGTGTTAGTCGTTAATGACGAAAATTTCACGAAAAATTGACGTCATCATGTTTGCTGGATTATTGAGTAAGAAATTATAATATTGATGTTATATTATTCTTAGTGTTTATTAAGTATTTATCTACTACTCAGTAAGCAAAAAATTAAAGTGGACCAAAAAATCTGATGCAATGTTGTTTTACATGATAACTGGTCAATATGATAAAGCACGAGGAAAGAAAGTGAAGGACGCAAGATTTGTAAGGTCTTTGACCGGGGGGAATATAAGTCTCGGTGTTGCTGGCTACCACTTCACTTCGTCGAAGGATACGGTAGAGATATTATCGTAGTCAATCTTTCAATCTCTGATCGTGCAACGTCAAGTCGTTATACCAGCTTATTCAATATTCAAACGAGGATTGAAGTCGACAAAGCCAACATGGAGCGGCAACCCCCAAAGTACGAATTTCTATCCAAGGAGAAGACAAAGGAGATGCTGAAATTGTTCAACGGCGAGAGAACCGGTTGGGTACAAGTAGGTCCGCAGAAATGGTTCTTTCCGTACAGATATACGGAACACGGTGCTGGATATTATAATTTTAAAGCCAGGCCAGATGATACCTGGGTAGTGACTTTTCCAAGATCAGGTGGGTGCATTAATATTATTCATAATCATAATAATGAAGGTTCACTTTAATTTTTTCCTCACCATGTATATTCTATCAACATCTGTTTGTCTTCCTCATCAAACTGAAGTCTAGTAAACACCAACCAACAGTAATATATATCAATGTTATAACTTCCCACTCAACAACGTAACTTATATGCGTTACATACGCGTTATATTGCATTTACATGGTTGATTGAGAGATTATAACATTGATGTTATGGTACTGTTAGTTGATATTCATTGGGAATTTATTAACGATTATAAAAAGGAAAAATGTTCCTTATGTAGCGAGAAATGCATAATACTGACTTTCAAATAGACTTAAAACACGGAAAACACATAATTATAAGCTTATAAAATATTCAGAATTCTAATTAAAAAAACGGAGAGTCCCAGCATAAAGAAGACCCTTAAATATCTCCTTTGTTCTTAATGAAATGAGAAATGTGTTTAGAGCATAATTTGAATGGTTTCGAAGGAAAAACACAGCATAGAAGGAAATATTTTTTTACGATCACTTTTTCGATTATTTTTAAAGTCCCCATATTCAAGTCCCCGAAATATTTAGATGTTCTCTACACCTAAATAAATTAACCAACTATAAAGTTAATCGAAGTCCTTATTGTCATTTTTTCCTCTTATCGAGTTGTCAATTTTATTTCTTTCAATAATATTAACAATAATGTCAACAATATTTTTTATTTCGCTATTATCTCAAATACTATCTACTCGTACTTATTCGTACTTACACTACTCGTAACTTCTTTAAACGTTCTTTAACTGCTCGTCGATTGGTATTTTAATTTTTCGGATGCTTTGTGACTAACTTCTTGATTATTTGGATTTTTAGGCATCTTTTAACTAACAATGATGATTTCCAAACTTTTAATTAATCTTTTAATTCTTCTAAGGCACTACATGGACGCAAGAACTAGTCTGGCTGCTATCGAACAATTTGGATTTTGAGACAGCGAAGACGCAATTTCTTGCTCAGAGATTTCCCTTTTTTGAGTTAGTACTGTTAGTTAATAACTTTGTTATTAATTATATTTACATGGAATGGCATGTTCATGTATTTATCTTAAGATATCATAAAATTTCATCATACATTTCTCTCTGTTTGACCATGATGCATTGCCGTACGGTTTTATCGCCTTATATATAACTTATATTTCTCGACATAATAAATCGTGTAAATTGTGCAATATCATGTTGCGATATCATTCGCTGAGGCGACTATCGCAATTTGTAATTCATATTTTCATAATGGTATAATTTGCCGCACATATGCAATAACACACGAATGCCACGTCGTTAATTTTTCTTTGACAAGTTTCCACATTATTATAGCTACGCGAATTGAATATCTAAAACATTACGAAAAGTAACGTTTAAAAATGTACTGAATCTAATCGCGCATAGACATTTGCGTATTAAAATTAACTATTGTGAGTATTTGCTTAAATTTAATATTCGCACTGTGAACCTCGTATATAATTCCATGCATAATTAAATACATTTAATTTTATATATATAAGTTCACACCCGGTTTATACAATCGTAATCGTTCTGATACGTGCGACGTTCCTCGTTCTTGTGTTCTAATTATTTAACTAATGTTAGGCCACTTATGCATTCCAGATTCAGCATATTCAATCATCCTGAGGTGACACAGGAATTTCTGGAGATCAATAAAGGTAATGAAGTGAATGAGCAGATCTGCCGGAAGATAGCCAAGCCCGGCTATGAAGTTCTCGCGTCGATACCGTCGCCCAGATTTATCAAAACTCACTTTCCACTCAGCTTGTTGCCAGAAATTCTGGATATCGGTTGCAAGGTATATATATAAAAAAAAAAGAAGAATTTGATGACGATCGCTTAATTGTCGTGACTTCTCGGTTGCCAACTCTTTTCTTTTTTTTTATTTCGAAATCGTGTTGACCTGGTAACGTTTTTGAAGGTCATCTACGTAGCGCGTAATCCGAAGGACGTTGCAGTCTCGTGGTATTACATGAGCGTGGGAATGAAAACGCAAGGATTTCTCGGTGATTTCGCTACCTTTTGGGATTACTTTGAAAATGATCTTAGTGAGTAAAAGCGTGGATTATATGAGTAAACATACTTATTTTCATAATATCTATCCAGTAAATAAAATGTTAGCAGCATGTCAGCAGATTCAATCAAAATACCGTGGCAGGTACATAGTCATCTGTGTCTTTATTAAGCTCCTGTTCCGTCGATCTGCTGATATAACTTGACAGCAGATACTGTACTTAACGAGCAGGATCTATAATATGTCTCATTTGAATGCATTTAAATGATGAGGAAAGGACAGATTCTGCTTGATTTCTGCCGTTAATTTGCCATCAAACTCAAAAAATTCTGTTATATTTTTGCTAACATGCTACCGACAAAATTTACAGCAGACATTACCTAAAATCTATTTCTTGCAATTGTAACTATGTGTACTAAGACTATATATATACACACAACAGTTTAAATTGATTTAGTAACAACCGTAGTCTTTATGTCACCAAAGTAAAACCATTGAGCAATATTATTTACTAATGTTAAATGTGTATAACAGATATATATATAATTATACATATAACACTTATTTTTTTAATCACACATTGTTAGTTATAATATTGAGTTATAATATTGAGAATTGATAAATCAGTTTTATATTAGTCATTCAAGCACAGACTACGAATGTCACTAAACCGGTTTCAGACTTTCGTGCGATGCAGTTAGTTATATTCCACGGCAGATATATTTGCGCTCTTGTAATTATTTCTCCGTTAATGATATCTTACCAAGGTAGTCAAAGCTATAAAAAAATGGATCTAAAATTGTCTTGTACTCGTACATACCAATTTGGTCTGTGGGATCAAATTACACTAAACGTGACTGACAAGTGAAAGGGTCGCGAGTGTATATTATTTCAATTCTCATGCGATGTGCTGCTTACTCGTATTTTTAATAGTTTGATGTACGGGTCAGATTCGCTTTCTTCTAATTAAAGAATTTTTCTCAATAAAACCATTGAGATTCTTAATATGTTCGACGCACTTTTTCAGCTTATTGGGGCCCGTATTGGACACATTTGAAGGAAGCCTGGGCTCTGAAGAATCACCCGAACCTTCTATTTTTGTTTTACGAAGACATGCAACATGTAAGCGACATCGATGCTATCTTCATTTCTTTACACTATTAGACGTACGTCTTCTAAAATAATCGTTGGTGTAATTTTTTCAGGATTTCCTGAAAATAATTAGAAGGATTGCAAAGTTTCTGGGCAAAACATATACCGACGAGCAATTAAATGAGCTGGCGGATTACCTGAATATCAACAATTTCCGGAACAATCCGATGGTCAACAGTAGCGAGTTGAAGAACTGCAAATTCATAGCAGAAGGGATCTTCATTAGGAAAGGTGTCAGTGGTGGATGGAAGGACATCTTTACGCCGGAGCTCACTGCTAGAGCGGACAAGTGGATCGAGGAAAATCTTAAGAATACTGATTTGCGTTTCCCGTACTTCGACAATAACAATTGAGTCGAGGAACGATCAAGCAGTTCCCGTAGGTCGAGAAAAATAGTATCGGGAAGATCTCGATGAAAGATTTCTATCGTGAAGGAAGATCAATCGGTGTATTCATCTTTGATACATCGAAGGAAAGAAACACGAAATATATATATATATATCTCTCTCTCTCTCTCTCTCTCTCTCTCTCTCTCTCTCTCTCTCTCTCTCTCTCTCTCTTTCATCTGGAAAATGATGTTTGTGCGATAATAATCTATAAAAGAAAACATAAGTCATAGTTAATAGAACATATCAAGTTAATCCAGAGATGTTTTTTTTTCATGAAATGCACATTTCATTTGGCGGTATATTTCTATTTTAAAAATACTTTGCTCATACTTGAATACTTATTTAGTGTTTATGGAAAGAAGCTTTTGAAACAACCTAATATTAATAGGGATAATAAACGTTTGGCAGGTGATACTGTTAGATCATACGTCCATATATATATATATATATATATATATATATATATATAT